TAATTATTGATTTATAATGATTATAAATAATTATAATCATTATTGATTAGTAATAATTTTATAAATAACATTAAATTTTTTTAAACTAAATTTAATTTTCTTAATAACTAGTAATTCAAATTGGCTTAAATTTTTAATGTAAATAATAAATATGTTCTACTATAATATACTTAAGTTTTAACAAATTTAAATTAATAATTCTTGAGAAACACTTGTAAATAATAGTTAATTTTTTTAAAAAAATTATCTATTATTTACAAGTAATTTCTTAAGAACTATTAATTTAAATTAGTTGAAACTTTAGTATATTATAGTTGAACATATTTATTATTCACAATAAATATTTGAACCAATTTGAATAACTAGTTATCAAAAAAATTAAATTCAAAGTTTAAGAAAATTTAATAAAATTTTGATTTATATTGTTTTAAATTACTAATAATAATACCCAATAGAGATGCTATATATCAATAGGAATATAGAAATTACTAATAATATATATCACTTTTAAAATTTTCTGATAATACCAGTACAGATATAGAGGTTTGTAGGTTTTGTTGTTGAGATAAAAATAATTAGTTTTCTATAAAATATATAGAGCAAATCTATAAAAATAATTGGCAATTTTACTAATAAGAGGATTATAGTAAATTCTTCAAAAGAGTAGTTTAATTGTTTCTTCTTAGTCAATACTATTTTTAACTATATAAGAGTTTGTAAGTCTAAAGTTGGTTATAACACAATTATAGTGATTAGTAAAAAGATCAGTTAGGATTTTAATGAAATGTTGAGGTATTTGTAATCATAATCAATATTTTTTAAAAAGGTTAGAGTTAACAGAATTATAGGCCTTACTCATGTTTTATAATAGTAGCCAAAGTTATTTAGAGTTGCAAAAAGTATTTTTATAGTATTGCTTAAAATATATATTGGGATTGCTGTATTATTGCCAAAAAAAGCAATATAATTATAAAAGTAGAATAGAATATTAAATAATGATAATATTAAGTTTATTAGTAAGAAGTTTTGTATAAATTTTTTTAATATATTTGAGAAGGCTAATAGGTTTAGTATTAGTAAGATTGCTATCAAATATAGGTTTTTTGAATATTGGAAATGTTCTTTCTTTCTTTTATTATTTAAATATATAATTTAGTTTAAGACATTTGTTGAATAATACAGTTATAGCTATTATAAATATAGAGCCTGCATGTTTTAGCATTTTATAGCTAATATCTAATAAACTACAAGCTTTATAGTTAGAAAGTTGGTTTAGAGTTGTAGAAATTTTTTTTTTAATAAAGTTAGTAAAAGCATATTGGTACTAGTTAGTTTCAATATCAGCTTTAGGTTGATATTCATTTAATTAGAAGAAATTAAAGATTTGGGTTTGAATATAATAGAGAGAAGCCTATTGATTAAGTAATCCTAAATATGTTGTTTAATGAGTAGAATTTTTGTAATGATATTAGTATTAGTTTTGATGTTGTTAAATCTAACAGAATTACAATGTTAATTAAGTATACTGTTAATTATTGATATAAGTTTGTAATAGAGTTTAGATCATCTTTTTGCTATATTATTTATAATTTGTTTTCTGATATTTTTAATGTTTTATAAATTGCATATATAATACAATAATTTTTATTCAGATAATAGTGCATAGTTACTTTATATAAATGGAATATTAAGATGATAAAAAAGATTAAGTTCATAAATTGGTTTATTATATTGAATAGGTATAGTTAATTGTTGCTAGATAGAAGCTTTAGTTTGTCTAATAATATTTCAAAGTTTTTTAAAATGAAAGTGTAATTGTAATGCTTTTGAAAAGAATATATATTAGAAGTTATATATAGTAAATATTTATTTAGAATATGTGTGTATGCAGCAAAAATAATACTAATTTGGATTTTGTATTAGGTTAACCCAATAAAGAAAGTTGTTTGAGTTAAGAGAGAAGTGTAGATTGATTTTAGATTAAATGAGACTTAGTCAGTAAAGCTTTGTCTAAGTTTATTATTTATGTTTTTGTATTGAAATATTCTTTTTTTAGTATTAATAGCAACTTTTTATTTGTCTATAAAGGCATAAGAGAATTCTTATATAAAAATAAGAATGTTATAATTGTTATAGATGCTAGTATTTAAATTATCAGTAGAATATAATATAAAATAGTGTAGTAAAGAGTGGTTGGCCCAAATGTAAGCAATACAACTTTTGTATTAATTACTGTGCTAGGTAGGTATTAAAGTATTAGTGTAATTAACTAGATTGTATATATTATTATGCTGTAAAAAATAAAGAAATTTGGATTTAATAAAAAGAAACTGAAAGTTATTGGTTGCATTAAAGTTTTCTATAACAATGGATAATATATTTTTACACTTTGCTTTTTGTATTCATTGTATAATAGTATTTTGAACAAGAAGTCTAAATTGTTAATTATTACATAATAGATAGGTAAATATGATGCAATATTTAAAATCATGTTTAAAGAATAAATCAATTGTAATTGCATAATTATAAAATTGAAGAATATTGTATATATAAGGTTTAAGGTAATTTTGTATTATAATTGTAGTTTTAGCTTTTAAACTATTGCAACATGATTAATAATAGAAGTAATATAAAGTTTTTTATAACTTAATAGTTGCATTATCTTAGGATATTTTTGTTTTAGTTATGCTAATAATGTTTATATTATAGGATAGACAGTAGTCTTCTCAAACTTGCTGTTTAAGGTCTTCAATATATATTCTTATATTATATGTATATATTTTTAGAGATAAAGGTTAGTAGGATGTAGTTAGTAAATTAGAAGATTGAAAAATACTATAAGAATGTGAAGTGTTATTAGTTTTATCACTAAGATCAAATATAAAAAATAAGAAAAAGTCATCTAAAGGTACTGATATAGAAAAGACTAGTATTGATGTGTTTAATTTTAGTTGAATGTTCAGATAATGTCAGATGCTTGAACTGATAAAATAAAGTAATTAGATAAAGTTTTAGATTTAAATGAAAGGTAAACATAAGCTTCACTATAGTCATTTTTAATAGAGATAGTTAATGTATAGGTGTAAGAGTTATCTGATGAGTAGTCAAAGCTATGAATATATTATAAAAAGAAAATAATAGTTTGTAAATAGAAAAGCAGTAAAAGGTGGTTATATAATAAGAATTTGTTGTAACAGATATTAAATTAAATATTGTTATAATATAGTTCAAATATAGTGATATTATTATAATCATTTAAGATAGTATCTACTAGTTAAAAATAGATATAGTTAAGTTTATTATCCTTAATAATTAAATTAGTATTTGATATATTATTATTGTTAAAGAGAATTTAGAAGTGATAGATATAGATAAATAGTAGGTATAACTCAATAGTTGTAAAAAGAAGTATTCAGGTAAAAGTATATAATATTCACTATAGTTAAATTTTATTTATAATTTAAGTATGTATTTAAAGTTATTAGATTGAAAAAAATTATAATAGTCAATATGTTTTAAAAAAGAATTAAGTGTTTGTGGATGTAAAAGTAAAGGTAGATCAAAGCATGCTAGTCATTGATTATTGCATAAATCTGGATCATATAGTATATTGTAGAATGGATTTTGTAGTACTTTCTCAATATAAGATAATAAAATAGAGTTTAGAAAAGTAAAAATTTCTTCTATAGTTTCATTCACCATATGCTCAGTTCTTACAGCTATAAAAAGTGCTATAGTTTGCTCTGTACATTAAGTCTGGTTATTATTAGCTTGGTTTTTCATATAAATAAGCTTAACTATCTGTTTACATATAGTAATTATTCTTTTCTGAAAATAGTTTATATTTAATGAAAGACATTGTAATTCCAGGAGTGATGGCTGCTTTTATAGATACTACAGAAGATTTTATTAAAAAGAAGCCTTTTTTTATTTTTTAAGAAAAATAACTTTTAAATTAAGATAGGTATTTCAAATGAATATTAAATTTGTTATGTAAGATTGTTTTTGCCTTCAATAAGGCTTTTTTTTTTTATAGAATTTAGTTATTTCAAAGTAATTTGAAGAATTGCCTTATATACAATCAAAATATATAATAACTTAAACTAGAAAATCAATATTAATAAGTTTTGCTGTAAAAAACTCAATAGCTTGTTATTTATCTATTTTGTCAATATTGTAATTTTGAGCAGTAATATTTTAATATATAGATAGGTATTAATAGAAATAGAAGCCTTATTATTTTGGATTAGTTTAATAGTATTAAAGAGCAAAGTGTATTCTTCTGCCTTTGTTGCTAGTTTATTAAGAATTAAAGTAGAAATTGGTTTTGTAAATGTAGCTTCATGTTGGCCTTTAATATAAAATATAGATGCATCAAAAAAAAGTTTATTTTATATTTTATTATCTTCTTTTGAATAAGTTTTGTAAAATGTTTTAAATATATTTTTAATAAATATAGATAAATTATGGTATAGAGGTTGTTTTTAAATTAATATCATTTTCTTTTATTTTTTCTTTTATATTAGTTGATTCAAAATAGAAACATTTAAAATCTGTACAAGTGAGTACATAATAATTGGCATATCTGAAAGTTTTATGATGTCATTCTTGAAGGTTATTAGTTTTAAAAATTCAATATTAGTTTGCAAAAGATTTTTTAAGTGCAAAATAAAATATTGTCTAAATTCATATTTAAAGTTGTTAGATACTTTAGTTTTGTTAGTAGTATTAGAAAATTGTTAGCTATAAAGTAAAAAAGCTTTCTCAAACTATTTATTAAAATAATTAAGCAAATTTTTGAGTAATAATATATTATATTTGTCAAGAAAAAGAGATTTTAAAAGATTAAAATTCAGTTTAAAATTAAATTTGTTATCTATTTTAATAAAAAGATATTGTTGTTTTTTATTAAAGTTAGTAATCTTAGATATTATTTTAAACCTTTTAGATCTAAGTTTAATATTCTTAACAAATTTTATATAGTGATACAGGCAACAGGGTCAGAAACAGCACTATAGGGACAAGAAGGAATGCGACGAATTGTCACTTCGAATTTGTCGATGTTGCATAACGTCGCTCAAGGCAGGTGAGGCGGATTTGATTTGGCACTGGTCTATGGCGGCCTTGAGAATGTTACCAGGAGGGTTTAAAGGAGCATATTTTTATTTATTTATTTACTTTATTTTGACAGTTAGCAGTTTATTAATAAAAACTTTATTTATTTTATAGGGTGGTTTACAAGTTACAAGGTGCTTCAGGTTACAAGAGGGCAGAACTATTTTTACTATAGAGCGGGAAAGCACTTTTTTTATAGAACATTTTTGAAGAAAAAAAGAGGGAACTTAGAACACGGCTTTGACACCCTTTTTCTCATTGTCATAGACTGTTTTTTTCTTTTTTGCTAATACTTTTTCTTTTTCTTACAACTCATCCATCATTACCTTAGCATCATCCCACAACGGCATACAATCCAACATATGACAATGCATTGACACAGCCACAGACTTTTCCTGTCAAGGTAATATTACATTTACAGTTGGATTCCAAATCGGGCAGATGGCTTTTTTTTTAATGGATCGGCACCGTCACTTAATGAGAAGCTTGATTTGTCTTGGGTTGCGGGTATCGTAGTATGACAGTTTTCGTGGTGCAGATCGTGGTTATTATGCAACGTTTCCTCAAGGTCCTAGGGTCGAATTTACCCATAACAATAGTTAATTGCTTAGCAATTATTAAAAAGATATAAATATAAGCAAGCAAGTTTAAGACAAATTTGTAATCAGTTTTAGTTTTGATTAGTGAAATTGTAGCAGAAAAAAACAAATATTTTAGGATACTTGAGTTTAGTAAAGAAAACTGTTATAAATGTATAAATAAGTTTTTAAGAGTTTCTTTTAAAATATTAAAGAGATTGTTACAGCTTTATCTGTTCCAGAATTGTGTTTTTGAATTAGGGTAATAAGAAATTTTAGTCTAATACTAGCTATTTGTTTAATTAACAAATAGAAACTAGTTTTGAGTATATATTTAGTTTTTGTGGCTTCTTTAAAAACTTTATCAATATAAATATTTTTTAAGAAAATTAAAAAATTAATATGATTTGTTTGTTTCTAATTTTGTATAATTTTGTATTTTATCAGTAATTGAAAAATTTGCTAGTTAGTCAAATAATAGGTTGAGTTTAGGTTTTGATATTTGACTAGAGATTGTTTATTTGATTTTTGGTATTGTTGTTACTGTTCTTTATTAAGTGTTTCATTTGTAATTAAAATAAGAGATGAAATTTAAAGATAAGAAGATCTTTAATAATTGGTTATTTTTAATATAACTTTTGTTGTTTGTATTATTTTTGTTGTTTTTGTTATATTTGTTTTAATGATATTAAAAACTTTTTAAAAATTATGATTTTTTCTTCTTTGGGTATTGTAATAAGTTTGATTACAATAGTAGTTTAATATTATATAAAAATAAGTGCTTTGGTTTGAGTAATAGGTTTGAGTTTGAGTTTGTGAATACATTTAGAATGTACTAAAAATCCTTTAATAATAAGAATAAATTTATCAAGAAGTGAATGTGTATTATTTTCTAAAAAGACATATAAGATATTTTTATTTTAGCAAATAATACAAATATGTATATAATGTGAATATACTTAGATTTAAGAAGATTGTGTCAAGTTAAATAATATTCTTTGTTAAGTTAAAGAATAATGTAAAGAGAATGATAGTAGAAAACAGTAGTTGTTTTTGCAATTGGTGATTGGAAGATAATTTCTTTAAGTTGTCTAACTTGTTTAAATATAATATCTATATTTATATACTTGAATTTTTGAAAAGAAGAAAGAGGAGTTGCTTGTCTAAAGAGATGTTAAATTACTAGATATAAAGAATATGTAAAAATTTTGATAATAGTAGCAATCAATAATAGGTGAATAAGAGTTTTAAAATAATAGAGAGATTTAGAAATACTATATTCAGATGAATTAAATGCAAATAATATTACTTTAAATTGTATAAATTGCACTTTTTGAATTATTGTACTATAATGATCATTATACTTATTATGAAAATAGTTGAGGTCAAAATGATCTGGCTCTTGAATGATTAAAGTAGACATCTTATTTGATAGAGAAGAAAAAATACTACAAGAGTACTTAAAGATAAAGTTGAAGTTACTTAGTAAAATTTTTTATTATTATCTATTGAAATTTTTAATATATAAAATTTTATAAGAGTAAGGATTGCTTGATAGAGATATAATGTAATACTGTATCTACTGCAACTGCTGTAGCTTGTGTAACCTTAAGAATAATTTGTGTAATATATATAGTACAAGGTGTGGCTAATGTGACAAATCTGACTTAGTATAACAATTCAGTTCATATTCTAAAAAAGCTTTTAATAGTATACAAAATTAAATTAATAGAAGAAGTGAAATTAATAAAAAATTGTATCCTATTTTAGGTAATATTAATTGGTTTAATATGAAAATGATTGTAATAATAATTTATTGTTATACAAAAATCATGTAAGAGAAAAAAATTTGAGATAAAGTCAAAAAAATTTTTTATGAAGTTTATAAGAGAGTTAAAGTTATTTGTAAAGATATCTCTATTAATATTAGGTCTATCAAGTTTATTGAAACCTTGTTTTAATTAAAGAAATGAGCTTTATAACTTTCCTTAGGACTATAAAGTAGATTATAAAGCTAGTTGTAGAGAAATAATTAAAAAATAATTTAGAAACCCAAAGTTTGTTATTGCAGTATTAAACTACAACTTGAAAGTTAAGTTCTTGAAACTTTCAAAATATATGTAAAATTAGAAGCTAAGCAAGTTTATTTAAGATGCCAAAATTAGTTATTTTAATAAAAAATCAGATATTAATAATTTTAGTACTAATAGATTTTTAGCTATTTTTGTATAAAAATAATTTATAGAAAGTGTTTCTATCTTTTTATTTATTATTTTGTAATTAAAATCTTTTTAAAAAATATTAATTATTATTTTGTAGTTAAAGTCTTCTTAAAAGATACTGTATTAATTTAGTAATCAAAATTAATATTAAAATATTTTATTATTCAGATATCTATATTATAAAAATTTTAATATTGTAAACTTTAAAATTTAGATTTATATTATATATATGATTATTTTAATTTAATAAATTAGATTAATAACCAAATTAGATTAAATGTTTTTTAAAAATAAAATTAAAAACTAGGTTTTAGATAATTTTATATTATGTGAATCCAAAAATTAATTTTGTATAATTTAAATATGATAAATAAATACTTTTAACAAGTATTTTTATATTTTTTTTATTTTTTTTAAATATTAATAATGAGGCCATGTCTTTAATTTTATTGAAATTTAATTAAAGTTTTTATAAAAAAAGCTTGCTTTTAAATTAAATATGAATAATAAAAATTCAGACATATAATCTGTAATATAAACCTATAAGAGTAGCTAAGACTTATCTAGATTTGGATTTGCATAATAATATAAAAGAGAAGAGTATAGTATTTAATCTATTAGATTGTTTAAAGATCAATTTTAATAATAAATTATGATATTGAAATAGAAGGTAAAGGTAAACTAAAAAATGACTATGAGTTGAGTTAGTAAAAAGTGTAATTTGAGACTGGACAGAATATGAAATACAGTATGAAATTCATATTTGTTTGTATATTTGTTGGTTTAAATAAAAAAGAAGTTTAATAAAAAGAGTAATAGTAATACAATAAAAAATAAAAACATTGTAAATAGTAGAAATAAGATTAATAGGAAGTAAACCAGATAGAATAGAAATAAAAAAAGATATATATAAAAAGTTATGCAGTTTGAAACTGTTAAGTATAAAAATTTCAGTATGTAATCAGAAACAAGATTAGCAAGTATATTAAGAGTAATTGTATTTAAAATACTATTAAGAAAATTAGAAATTAAGTAATAAATTGTTTGGAATAAGAGACAGATAGCCCAATAAAGTGAAAAGTTAGTATGGATGCATTGATAACAAGAAGAAAAAAGAAAAGAATTATATTTATAAAGAATATAAGAAATAGGAAGTTTATTTATAAGAATTTTAATACAAAAAGTTTTCAGAATAAATGAATAAAAGTGTAAGCAAAATTAGAAATTTTTTGATTGTTATTAATATAGAGCCATGCAGTTTCTTAGTTAATATCAGATGCAATAGTAGACTATTGTTAAAAATAATATTAAAATGTTCAAAGTGTTATAATATAGGCTTGGCATATAGTTTAAATAGAGTATCAGATAGGAATTTCAATAGAAAATTCATTAATAAAAGGAGTATAATTAAGTTATAAGGATTATTAATTAAGAATATTAAGTAAGGTAATATTTGGTAATTGCAAACAAGTTTGTCAGCAAGATTGTTAAATAGGTCATGTTTGTGTACAATAACTATAAAAAATAAACTGAATTTCATAAAATTTAATAAAATTGATGAGGATTTATCAGATAGAGAAATATGAATTATGAATATAAAAAAGAATAAGTATTAATTAGTAAATATTATAATATTTAGAGATTACTAATTGTGAGTTAGTAAATATGTAGACAGAGCAATGTTTAGAAGCAATAATAATTATTAAAAGAATAGTAAGAATTTTAACTTTAAAGAAGCATGACCATAGTTTAACTTGTGTCTAAAATAAGTTAATAGTTGTAAAGTTATCAACTTGAATTCACCTATATCTATAGAGTATTATAAGATATTAAGATTGATAACAGAATCATCAGTATAAAATAAAATAAATAATAGATTGTGATTTGAGTTAGCAATAGTCTAAAGATTATTAAAAAATTAATATGTTTCAAAAATAGAAGCTAGTTGTTATAGATAATTGTAAGTAAAAAAGAAGGTAAAATATGTAAAAAATATCAAAAAGTAACAGAATATATAATATCAAGAAAGTTTGTATGAAGATTAAAAGTTTTGTCAAGATTGTTGTGACAAAGTAGCTTAATAGCCAAGTTAGTAAGAATAAAGATAGTACATTTGTTAGCAATTATATTTGAATTGAGATAGCATTTAGTATATAATATAATGGTAAAAGGAGAAGTAAAATAAAGATTAGAGAACTAAAACTAAAATGAGCAGTGCTAGTAGTTGATAAAAATAAATCCAGTAGATATATTATGTCTTCTGATCTTGTTAAGAATTATTTGATTATTAAATAATAGTGAGTAATCAAGATTTAGTATTAGAAATAAAGTGATTTATAAAATAACAGAAATAGTATACAGAAGATAAGTTATAATAATTATATAGAGTGTATTGATAAGAATGAATTATAATAATATTCTTAAGAATTATAAACTAATGTAATATAATACCTTTTGAAATTTTGTTAAGTTTGGGTAAAATGTATTGTCAGTGTAGTAAATATAAATTATTATAAATAATAAGTTATCTATAAAAAAAAGTTTATAATATCTATGTTGTTTTTTGAAAATAAAATATTTTAGATAAGAAGAAAGAAGAGATTCAAGAAAGATAATTTTATTATTTAGAGTATATGAAATGTTATAGATTGGGTTAGTTGAAAAAGTCCAGTTTATGTATTTAATAAGTTTATTATTTTGAAGTTTGTAATTAAGTAATTGGGTTTATTAATAATTAATTTAGAATGAAAAAATATTAATAGAGAACCAGAGATTGTTTTGGAGTTATTAAATTTATATACAAGTAGATATAATTAGTAGATCAAAATTGTTAAATTATTTAAGAAGATTGAAGATATGGTGTTGTAGTTAAATATCTTAAATATATTTAATATTGTAGATTTAAGAATGTAATAGAATACTAGACAGTATTCTATGATAAAATTTGGCTTTGAGCTTAATAAGACTAATATATTAAATGAAAATTTTGTTACAAATAGACTAGTTAATAATAATATTATATAAGTGGTATTTGATAATAAAAATGATAACTGTATTAATAATATAATGAGTATATGAATCAAATATATATTTTGTTTTTATAATTTAGATAAACTGAAAGGATTCAGAAATAATTAGTTTTGTTTATTTAGATTGTCTATTATCTAAAATAAATCAACAATCTAAAAATTTAAAGGATTATTTAAAAGAATAAAGCAGAAATAGATGATTATTATAAGAAATAGGAGTATAATAAAATAGAGAATTATTAGTAATTCAGATAGATTTTGAGGGATTAATTTGGATATTAGTCATAATATAAAATGATTTAGCTATAGATAATATATAAGATAGTTCAGTTTGTAAGAAAGCAATCCAAAGAGTATTATCTATATATACTAGAACAGAGCATTATTTTTGTAATAAATTAGATGTTTGTAGTTTTAGATTGATAGTCAAATAGATTATAGAATATAAACAAATACTTTTGAATATATGTATAAAATAAATGGGTCATAGTAAATATATTATAATAGAGATATAATTGTTTTATCTTGCTTAATACTATTGTAAACTGAATAAAAGGAAATAAGACCAAGATTAGTAATAATTTGGTTGTGATAATCAGTAAAAAGATTAGTAAGAATGTTAATAATAGATGAGATAAATAAGAAATAGAGAAATAAATATTTAAAAAAAACAATGTTTACAGAATTATATATTTTGTTCATATCTTATAAGAGTAAACAAATCTTCTTATAATTATAAATAGTATCTTCAATAAGTTTATTAAAAATATAAATAGAAATTGAAGTACTATTATTAAGGAATATAATATAGTTAAAAAATGAAAAAATAGAATTTAAAAAAAATATAAAACTAAATCAATTTATAAGAATTTTTGTATAAAATTTGTAAATATATTTGATTAGACTAATAGGTTATATGAGTTTAAGATCATTATCAAAGGTGTTGTGTTTAGAAATAGAATAAATTCTATTATATTTCTATTATTTAGAAATTCTGTTTTCAAGAAGACAATAATTAAAGAGAATAATAATAACAGAAATATATTAAGGACTAATGTATTTAAATTTTATAACTAATATCTATAGGATTATAAACTTTGTTATTAAATAATTATAAAAACATTTAGAGAAGTTCTTTATTAATAATAAGAGAGTTAAGAAAATAATATTAA